CATGCTTGACCAAAATATTAAAACTAGAACATCGTGTCACCGTCTTTTTGAAAACTTTTGACCTTCTATGCCAAGAGAAAAAACCTTTGAGATCTCCTTTAATCTCATAAGAAGTTAAATGTGATTTGTGCTGACTGTTTTAATTTTAGTTGAAAAAATTAAAAAGTAAAGGTGATTTTTTAAGTCAGCAAGTCTGCAGTTTTTCAACAAATGAATAATTTGCATACTAAAAAGACAAGCAACGGATGCAATTTTGGTTGGCTGATTCAGCAAATGTCAATCAATCAAAAAAGTGGGCGGCAGACGTTTCGGAAAAGGCTTGTATCAGGCTCTGTTTTCGTTTCGCCTTGCCTGCCGGAATGTTGTTTACAAAGCAAAATGAAAATTGAGCCTGATCTCAGGTTAGGAATTTCATCATGTCCTGATGGAGTTTCAATTTTTAATTACCAAGACACAGGATAGGACATTTCTGCAAATGTTTAAAGTTAGAATTCAGGTAATTTGGTGCAAGAAAAACACTGCATCACATAAAAAAGTGCACATACCTGATTGGAAGTTGATGGCCCATACATGACTGTCTTCACTGGATCCATATCCCCATGATGCTGTCTGAGAAAGGAGTACATTTAAGCCATCACTCCTGGTTCTGATCCTTTATCCAGCCAAAGCTTGCTCGCTATCGTTCTTGCTTTCAACAAGTAAACCCAAACCTTGGCCCGAAGCATTTTTCGGCTGCAAGTGTCAATGCAGCCATAAACGGCGATAGGGAGAGTGCTGTTTTGATAGCTTATTGATTTATCGTGGCCATCAAGAGCATGAACCCAGTTTAGGCCTCGTGATGTGTAGTTGCCTTTGGTCTTTCGTCTTCTTAAATTAAGGAGCCTTTTTCAGCGAGTGCACCTAGATCTACATCGTATATTACTGCATACACAAGTTCGCGGGTAACCAAGGAGTTTTCCCGGCCCTTCCTCTCTTCTTACTTCGTCTTCGACCTCTCGACCTCAACGGTGTCATGTTATGCTATTGAAGAACTCTGGTATTCTGTCTAGCGCCCTTAACTCCACGCGTATTCAATAAAATCCCTTGACAAAAAGTCTAAAAGTTCATTTCGACAAAGGTTTTGCTTCACATAACGACTTGAGACCTCTTTTAACTCCTATAGCGTCTCCTCGACAATCGTTGTTGTCGCCATCTTGAATAGGACACCCCAAAGGCATGCTGGTCTAAAAAAAAGGTGAAAAATGGCCAATTTATGACCAAAACCATGGGTTAACCCCTTTGGGAAAATCCAAAGGCATGCTGGTCTTTTTAAAAAAAAGGGCCTGAAAAAAAAAGAAAAATGGCCAATTTAAGACCAAAACCATGGGTTAACCCCTTTGGGAAAACCTCAATTTTTCGACTTTTTGGTTTTCTAGCCTAGAAAGGCGTTTTTTCGCTCTAGAATATCGTAAAACACGTTTTCTTGGTCTAAATTGCCTAAAAAAAGATGGAGAAATGGCCAATTCTTGACCAAAACCGTGGAGTAACCCCTTAAGAAAATTATCGGTTGTTCGACTTTTTGAACTTGTCGTTTTTATAGGCTAGAAAGGCGTTTTTTCGTTCTAGAATATCGCAAAACACAGTTTCTTGGCCTATACTTGCTAAAAGAAAGATGGAAAAATGGCCAATTTTTGATCAAAACCATGAACTAACCCCTTCGGAAAAATCTCAGTTTTTTGACTTTTTGATCTTCTTGTTTCTAAAGCCTATATTGCCTAAAAAAAAGGAATAACGGTTAATTTTTGACCAAAACCGTGGTTTAACCCCTTTGGAAAAACCTCAATTTTTCGACTTTTTGAACTTCTTTTTTTATAGCCTAGCAAGGCGTTTTTTTTTGTTCTAGAATGTCGCAAAACGCATTTTCCTGGCCTATATTGCCTATAAAAAGATGGGAAAATGGCCAATTTTTGACCAAAACCATGGACTAACCCGTTTGGAAAAATCTTAATTTTTTTATTTTTGAATTACTTGTTTTTGTAGCGTAGAAAGACGTATAATACATTTTCTTGGTCTATATTGGCAAAAATAAAAATATGGAGAAATGACCAATTTTGACCTAATTCACGGACTAACCCCTTTTGAAAAATCTGAATTTTTCGACTTTTTGATCTCCATTTTTTATTGAATAGAACGGTGTTTTTTCGTTCTAGAATAACGTAAAAAACATTTTTCTGCCTTAAATTGTCTAAAAGAAATAGATGGAGAAGTGGTCAATTGTTGATCAAAAGCACAGGCTAACCACTTTGGAAGATGTTTCGATGTTTCAACTTTTTGAACTTGTTGTTTTTGTAGGTTAGAGAGGCGTTCTTTCGTGCTAGAATATGGTGAAAGACATTTTCCTAGCCAATATTGCTTAAAAAAAAAGATGGAAAAATGGCCAATTTTTGAGCATAACCATTGACTAATTAACCCCTTTGGAAATATCTCACTTTTTGGAGTTTTTGATTAGGTGAAATTGTATTAATTTAAAGAGAAAGCTATATTTTGTGAATTTTCTGTAGGCATCATCCTTTTTCGCTCGATTTGCATTCTTTATTTCGTAGTTTCAGTTTATCTGTCTTATTCATTTTTAATTAAGGCAATTCACCCCAAGTAAGGCAATCTCGATAATCTTTGCTTGTGGGATCCAGTATCCTGGAAATATTTGCTTCTGGAATTCGGAGTCTTGGGAATAGGAATCCGGAATACAGCTTTAGGAATCCGGAATCCCACTAAAGATTGGAATCCCGAATCCAAGTTCCACTGACAAAGATCTGGAATCCAGTGTCGGAATCTGGAATCTACGACGTGAAATTCAGATTCCAATACTGTCTTGGATGACGATGACGATGGCTTAATTTACTTGGTTTTTTCTTTCTGTTGCCGTTCATGTCGTCCTTTTTACTTTATTTTACTTTGTTTGCTTATTTATTTGATTTAGTTTGGTTTTATTTCGAATGCTTTCTCCTCTTCCACAAGATGATTCGTTAACTGTTAATCTGATGAAGTCATCTCATGTCTGTTGTAGTTGACATTTTAGAAGCAAAAGATGTTCATTCCAAGTCCTAGACTTGAAAGGTTAAAATTGTTACGTTAACTTAATCCATGTTTTTTCCAGTCCATGTTTTATTAATCCAGTCCATCTTTTATCACATGCCTAGAGAGTATTAATCCTTAACGATGGCAGTGATAATCAATGTTGACTGGAACTGAGCCTGATGCAATACAAAAATACAAACACTTTATTATTTTCAATGGTACCTACTGTACGCTTAGCTAAGAACAAAATTAATGAAATAAAAAGTCAATATTTCAGAAAAGAAAAAGTGTAGTGAAAACGATTAAGTCACGAGCATGTTTTACGGACTGGATTATAATGGGCGATATCCCGTCGTCATTGCGCTTAGATTGTACGTTTTTTAAAGAACAAGTAATTAAGAATTTTAGTTGACGCCTTTCTTGTGTTCAATTTTGAGTTCTCGCATCATTATACAACTCAAAATTGAGCTTTGCTGCGACAACTGAGCCATTAATATTACAAACTTTTAGGTTCAGTTAGACTGTTTAAGAAATCCAAAAAAAAAAAAAAAAAAAAAAAAAAAGAGGAACATTGTAGAATTCATATATAGTAAAAGCATGAATGTGTCTCTCATCACGTAATAAAGTGCACTGTTGAGCTAAATTAAATCACTCAACAGTACACTTTGATTCCGACATTTATGCCAATGTTTGTTGGACAAATTATAACTCCTCGAGGCGTGCTGCTAAATGTACATTACAATGATCAATTTCAAAGTTCCAGTGTCATTTATTTGCGTAATGTCTCCTTATTAATGACCTTCATCAAGATTTATCTGTCTGGAATTCTACATAATCTTCTATTAAGGGTTCGGCTACGTACGCGTGTAGTCAGTTCACGGATGTTTTTTTATGTATATGTTGATAGGTATTACTTTCTTAGTACGTGACCGATCAAGAGTGATATGACTTTTGTCATGTAAGCTTGAGCTTAAGCTATTATATGAGTTCCGTACCTTTCGGACCTTTCGTTGGGAGACAAATGAAAGGTGGAGGTTTGCGTGTATATAAGATACAGCTTAGCTTGGTAACTGAGTCTCTGTATGACTTAAGAGCTTCCCGTGGGTAGTTCAGTGGACTCAAAATTAATAGTCTACATGATATACAGTGGTAGCCATCACCACGACCAGACATGCACATGGAAGGGCTCCAGCTACCGAATTTATGTTGAATATGAATACTTCGCTATAAGGGGTGAACAGGAGACATTAAAAGAAAAGCAACAACAAATTTTGGTTTCGAAAATGACTCAGTGGATAATCTTTGAGACTGAATACAGACGTTTCATTGTTTCAGAAACTTTTTGGGAGTTTAGATAGAATGTGAACTTCGAGGAAGTACTAAAAACAAACTGATAATTTTGGGGTTTGTCCAATAACTGTTCCAAAAACGCAAGAGTCTTGTCACACCTTGTAGAATAATTAGGTTTAGAAACAACGACAGCAAAAAAAAAACAAATTTAATTTATCCACGGAGACCTCTGCACTTTTTATTTAGGTAATTTAAGGGTGAAAACTATTTAAGATAGTGGCCTGCTTGGCTTCGGCAAAAAAAGAAGTACTTTTTGAGAAATTTACGGAAATTTATCTGTGGCCTTCTATACTTTTACATATATTACATATAAAATAAAGGAAGAAGAATATCTTCATTTAGCTGACGATAGCTTCACTCATTTGCTAATGAACATAACATAACCAAAAGTAGGGTGGCCCTTTTTTTCCAACGCAACGGTTTATGCTACAGCTTTTTAAATCTATAAGAAATTCGACCGGCGATACTACCAAGTTACAAAGTAAACGATCAAAGGTGATTTAATTGCAAAGTTTTTAAAGGTATTAAAAAGTGTGTCAGTACAGGCTCCAAATGCACACATATCCAAAGACTATGAGCACATTACTTCACATTCAACTTTGGTAGCGAAGTACAAACTGAAATGACAGCAGTTTTGGAGTATCTCTGCTTGGAGTAGTTATGGTTGAGTTGTTATTGGGATCACCCTTCAAGGTTGTTCGTCTCAGAGATAAGGCAGAGAAAGAGGGAGATATTCGCCTATTCGGGCAATGCCTTGTGAAAAGTAACTTAAAAGATCGAAGTAAATCTCTTTTAAAGAAGGTGTAAAGTAGTGGATTGACCACTGAAGTGGTGTACCTGACCAGAAGAGCCACTTGAGATGCTACATCAAGTCTCGAGGAACTGACTTGCAATTGATATAATAGAGATAATACGAATCGAGGTCCCCAACTCACGAGAAATACAAAAGCCATGATGGCAAACAGTAACAAGCACCTCCACTCACCGGAGACTGTTTCCAAATGTTTGCTGTGTCTTCGTCCCTTGAAGGCCGCTTGTAGATACTTTTTTGGAGATGCTGTATTAATGGCTTTGAATATATGCACAAATGCGAACAGCATGAAGCAGTATGGCACAAAGAAGGCAAACAAGAGGCAGAATGCGGTGAAACCAAGCACGTAATATTTTGATACTGGCTGGTATACTGGGAATATCGCACCAATCCATGTAAAAGGTACAAACGAAATCAGCAGCGAGGAGCTCCAAACTATGACCAACACCTTTTGAATACGTTTCTTGCGAATGACTAGGTGTTTAAGCGGATATTTGATGGCCATGTATCGCTCTGCGGTGATAACAACAAGATGGTAGACAGTAGCGATAGCTACAAAGTTGTGAAGAACAGTGACTAGGAATCCCAGATAGAACTTCGCTTCCGAAGACTCAACCAGTGAAGTAAAGTGTACTGTAGTAAACATAGGAATGACGACGAAACCACAGATGAAATCGCAGACAGCCAAGCTGAAAAGTGGGTAGTTTGAAGTAGTTCGCAAAACCTTTTCCTTGATAAATAGATACAAAACGACTCCGTTGATGATTACAATTCCAACAGCAATCAACAAAAGCACTGCGATTTCTGTGTTAAAGTTGTAGCCATCAATTGTTTTGGTTGGCAAGGTTACATTTTCAGCTGTTGCGTTTGACAACTGGTACTTTGCATCCATAATCATTTCATCAGGGCTTCATCAGAACGTGCCTTTACTTTGGTTTGGAAAATAAGTCAGGTACTCTAGAAGCCCAGATCCTCCAAACTCTGAAGTATAAGTCTGATATCCAAAGATTTTTCTGAAAGAGTATTGGACACACCACATTATTAAGACTGAGGCGAGAATAGGATTTTTCAAAGGGTGGTGGTAGGGGGGAAGGGGTGGGGGGGGGGAGGGGGGTGTTAGGGGTGTGGCGGTCACACTTTGTCACACCCACGGTCCTTACCAGATTGGCATGTCGACATCCACGTCGTGTTTTACAAACATTGACGTTTTTTCTGACGAGCAGTGAGCGTGGGGGAAGAGACGAGACTACAAAATAGCTGCATGGATGAATTAAATTCCATAAAACCTTAAATCATTCTATTTCAGTCTCACTCCTCATCAGACAAAATTGCGACTTTATACAAAAAATGTATTTTTCTAATATAGGATAACTTACTTTTCCTTTAAGAATATAAACAAATAATAACTATAGCCATAAAACAATGTTTGGTAATGTTCTAGATAGAAAACAGCCGTTCTAAAACTATAAAAATATCGATCTTATATAGTTCCAAAAAGTGGAATTTTCGAAAGCGGTTAGCCCATGATTTTGGCCAACAAATTGCAATTTTTTCACCCTTCATTTTTCGCGAAATAGAAACAAGCAAAAATTTCCCGGGCCCCCCAGGCCTCCCGGGCCCCCGGCCCCCCGGGCCCCTCCCCTGGATCCGCCGCGGGACACAAAGAGGCAAAAACAACCCAAAAAGCAGTTAAAAACACAAATAAATATATGCTAAAAAAAACCCTGAAAAAGAGATAAAACAAACTACCAAAAACAGGCTTACTGCGCTTTTCACAAACATGCGAACTCTAAAGTTCAAAAGCCGCCGTCAAATATTATGTTTTTCGCTGCCGTCAATCATAACTACGATCACAAGCAACGAACCTTGAAACACAGAAACACACAAAACGGATCGAAATCCACCAATCACAAATCACAAACCATGATCTTTTGAACCGTTAAAGTAAAGTATTGTTTCCTAAGAGGTCCGTTAAGATGATTGACGGCAGCGAAAAAGGCAATCGTCAGTTGGCTTTTGAACTTCAGAATTCGTATGATTGTGAAAAGCGCAGTAAAAACCAAAAAAGCAGGTTACTACAAGGATAAAAACGACCTAAGACAAGTAAAAGCTCTTTGGTCACGTTTTACTTAGAAAATTAGCCTTGCTTAGACTATAAAAAAGTCGATTAAAAAAAAACTACAAAATTTGTATATATCACAAGGGTTTTAGTAGTAAGGTTCGTGTCATGCAAACGAAATAAGGAAAAAGTGTTTGGTGAAGTTCTAGAAAGAAAAGAAGCCCTTTGACACTATAAAAACCTCGATCTAAAAAAGGCCCAAAATTTGCGTTTTTCCAAACGGGTTAGTCCATGGTTTTTGTCAAAAAGTGGAGATTTTATCAATGTTTTGTTTTTATGCACAATAAATAAAAAAAAGTGTATTAAAGTAGTAGATAGAAAATAATCCTCTCTAGACTATGCAAACATTGATTTAAAACAGCCTCAAAATTTGCATTTTTCCAAAGAGGTTAGTCTATGGTTTTTGTCCATTCTTGGAAATCCCTCTATAGCGAAGCCTTTATAGTAATAACCTTGATATATGAGCTATTGTTTGCCCCAGTCAGAGGTGAAATAAGATCCTGATGTGCAACAGCACACGTTTTCCTCTTCCCAGTCTGTCTATTACATCGTAGTTACTGTACATAGTAGCACTACCTAAATGTGGATAAATGAGCCACTTACAAGCACCATTGTCAAGATCAAGTTTGGTACCTTTTAAGGTTTTATATGAAACGGCTCAAAAACGTGGGATAGTAGGAAATAACAAATATATGGTGCATGATGGTGGGAATGGAAAGAATTCGGCTATCTCTCTTGCCAGTGAAAATACAAATATGATGCATTTTGATGGCAGCAAGGAAACTGAACGTATTCATTACAGGGAGAATGAACAAGCCAATGTTTTGAATCAGTTAGGATTGGAAATTTCTGTGGAACGTCATTGATAAACGTATCACTTTTAATATATTGGAGGGATTGTTAATTTGTGAGCTTTACGCCCAAAGTATAGCGTTTAATTGTCTCAGTGATCAAATTAGGTTTCTGTCGTATCACTGTTTGATTTTCCTACATGCAGTGATATATATGCAATAGTAATATGAAATCATGAAGTTCTCTTAATTATACTGAGGGTTTTTTCTTCCGGATTTTTCTTTACATTTTTAAAGGGAAAGTTGATCAACTCAACTTCAAATGTTCAGATCTTCTCATTTGAACAGCCCCGAGCATGCAATACAGTAAAAATTAGCATATTTTCTAGTTGATAGTCTTAAACTGTGGTTATCCAAGCTGTTTTGGAAAACATTGCAACGGATCAAAGCAGACACATCAAGTACACTCCCGTCTTCAGGTATCGGTTAGTAAGCTTATATTACTTGTTTATACAAAGCGTCTTATACTTAGTAATTGAAGAGTACTTACCGTTGAATTGGGAACAATAATGGGCCTTGCTTGCTTTGGGAAAGACGTGGTTCCCGATGCGTTATTTGTTTCTGAGATACTGCAGAACAAGGAACAGATAAGGGCTAAATTACTTCATCTGAGGGAAGCTTTGAACGTGAATGCCAAATGCGTGGTCATCATGCGATGAAAAGGTTAATCTGTTCAGGAAACAACAGGAATTCTATCTCAGTATCGACTTGGCATCAACCTCTATCGACACAGCAAGTTAATCACATTTAGTTTCAAAACCTGTCATCGCTGGCTCTAACCTACTACGTAGCTTGTTATGGTGTCTACTAATGCGCCCCCGCTTTGTCGGGGGGCTGTTCTCTGTATAAATGGCCCATCCACACGAAGGGGCTTCCAACGTATGACACGGCATAGAAATCTGTAATAAGGTGTTTAAAGAGGCTTTTTATTATAGGATGGCTGGCTCGATATATCGAAATCCTCGGAATGACGAATGGTATTCCTCGCCTCCAAGTAAACTACGCATGAAAAAGAACTACCTCGAACTGTAGACAAGACAAGACAAGACAAGAACTTTATTTATACCACACACAGAAAAAAAGACATTAAAAAAAGACAATAATACTTATGTAAGGTACAAGCCATCCAGAAAATGGCTAAAAAGCTAATCTAGCTAGGAGGCACTGTAAACGAATGATAAACGAATAAACGAAACCTTGTTATAGCGAAGCCCCTTGTCCCTTCAATAAACATTAAATCGAGGTTCTACTGTATGTGAAATGGGTACGATTTATCAATGGAAGGTTTTTCTGTCAAAAATGGTACACAATGTATAAGACAATAAGGTTTTGGACCGCGCTCGGAGTCTACTTGTATAAAGCCTTGTTTAGTGCCGGTGTAAAACGCTTCTTATCAGAGATAGCTATTTTTTCAAAAATTTAAACGTGGGCTAGAGAGAAAATAATCAGGTTTTCGCCTTGTTTAGCAAAACTCAAGCTTACCTCTGCATCTTCGGTACTCTTTCGAAAAAAAAAGAAAAAAAAACATCTGATCCTAATGTGAGCACCAGGCGTGGGGCGGGCTTTAAAGGGCATCCTGCTATTATGCGTAGGTTTTCATTCCCGGACTGTAGGTGTATCCGTGGGATTCTTATTTCTTCAGTGTTTTTATAGACAAAGTTTCTTTACTCGTGGATGGTCGAACTTCAAGAAGTTCATCGGACAAAGTGTGTAAAATGGAACATTCTATTCTAGCTTCAGTTATACCGTAATCTACTAGCTGCTTATTTCACCTCGAACAATTAACCTTTTAACAGGAATGGAGAGCGGGGGTTGGATGATTTGCTGCAATGAAAAAGTAAAATAACCCAGCCAATATTCTCAACTCCAAAATTTCTTAAGTCATTTGTTAAGTCAAGTAGTAAAATTTCCCTGGTTCTCCCTTTGATCAGTAAGTGGTTAAATGAGTAATATACAAAATTTTTTCTCTTCCATAAATGAATTAATATACCCCCTTATCGTTCCCCTCATTGAAGTTAAGTTATTTTTGGGAAAATGGCAAATGTTGATTTGATTCTTCCTGCTCCAAAAGCTTTTCCAAAGCTCAAAGATAAAGCGGGATCCTAGAGACAAGCAAGAAGGGCGAGTGGGGAATGCTGGGAGCGAACGTAAAAACAGCGCCTTGGGGAGTGTTGGGAAGGAGAAGGTTATAAAGGGACCTTCTTTCAGCTGTGCATTTTATCAAGGCTAGGAACATATTAAACTGTTCTGACCGTTTTGTTAGTCTATAGTTTTCACAATATCATAGAATTTTTGTTACAGTTGTTATGGATATCAAACAATCAGGTTCAGATGTGCCAATTCTGTCGTCAGCGACCATCTGTTTGTTAATGCAGATCAGCATTTCGACGATAGATTTTCGGTCAACTCCGACAAATCCGACCAGTTTCGCGAATTGCTTTCTCACTTACCTGAAAGGAAAAAAGAATTCCGAAGAGATTTTTCCCTAGCTGTTCCAGCGGAAGCCTTTTCTGTACTAATTCCATATTAAAAACATAGCATGTTAACCGAACGAATATTCTGGATTATTCTCTGTACTGCTATTCTGGAATATGGTCGGTCAATCGAACGAGCCCAAAATATGTACTCTGCTCCCGGCTAAAAAAATCATTTGAGTCAGGTGAGCAGTTTCTTCTTTTTTTTGGCATTGCTAATTCCAAATTTTCACTGTTTAATAGAGTGCTGCGTTGATTTATGATGTTATAATTCAATCATAGCCCTGATAACTGGGATATTCGTTCTGAGTCAATTATTAGCCCAGTGATTCGAATGTTTAAAGATTATTTTTTGGGAATTTGTTGATCTGTGTATAGTCATGAACTATTTAAAGGTAGAAAGGATTAGAAGAGAGAGAGAGAAAAAAGAAGAAATGATGACAAACAAAAAAGATCTGTAAGAGCCACATGCGGTCCTGTGGCCGGAACTGCCAGTGGAGGTCGAATTTACTAAAGGTGGTTTCATGTGATATTAAAATACGACATCAAGTGGACAAGCAGATGTTGTAAAAAGAATTTTTTGTTACTATCTTGTTATAATCTTTGGTACATATTCAACTAATCCAAAACTTTCAGCGGCCTTTTAACTAAATTTTCAGCATTGCGGCTGAACTTTCACCTGCTGAAAATCACAAAAACGTTCGCATTTCTGAAAGAAAATGAGGCAATTTTTTTCTGCGGCAGGGGCGGATCTAGGGGGAGGTTGCAGGGGGTGCGCACCCCCCCCCCCCTGAGATGACCTGCGGTTTTCTAATACAACTGGTATTCTGCCAAAAAAAAAACTATGTGGTTTATTGGTGTTGAAGTAGAGCTGATCCAGAGACGAGTGCACCCCCTCCTAAAAAAAATCCTGGATCCGCCCTTGTGCGGTACTATATATGTTGCAAGACGGCAACTGTTACAATTGTCATTGATCACTCTAGTTGCAATGGGTTCGGATTGAGTTTCCAAGGTGTATCAAATACAATCAGAAAATGGGTGGTCAGCAAATTTGCTATTTTCTTCTTATTGAGGAATTTCTGTTCTTCCATCTTAAAGAACAATGGCCTTGTATCTGTGTCAAATTCGTTCCAAAATTCAGGTTGCTGTTAAAAGCATTAGCAATAATCTCTTTTTATTTGAACGTTTGTGCCTGAAAATCGTCATAAGTTGATGCCATCTGTGCTAGGTGACTGCGGCTTTGGTCGCCGAAGCTCATGCAGTGAAGCTTACGGGGGTTACTCACCAAAGTTTTATATGGGGAGGGAAGCTTACAACCTCTAATCGGCCAGGTTCTCTGCGCATGCGGTGGGTATACCTTCCTTTTTCCACTGTCATTTTGAAAGAGGACGGGAAGGGTATGGGAATTTCTCGGAAAAAGTATTAGAACACTAAGTTACGACTTTACATGCAGTCCTTCTTTTGTTTTGTACAAAATTCGGTCTGCAAAGAATCTCCCGTAACTTGGTTTAGTGAAGAACAACAAACCACCGATCGATCGTGATATTCCCACAAACGGTGCCTGGTAACTGTATCATGATAAAGGATATTCACTGGTTTGGCACTGTTGGCTTTATCTAAGAAAATCTGGAATCCGGAATCCGGAATACACATCGAGGAATTCAGAATCCCATTAACGATTCCAGTACCTGGAATCCGGTATCCACTAGGCGGAATCCAGAATCCAAGACTGTCTTGGATTTCCTTACTTGGGGCGTCAATGTGCATCTCTCACTTCGCATAGTAAAGTTGGCGGCCGTGAAGAACTGAGCTTCATCAGAAACATTTTTAAAATGTGGTCCATCTGAGAGAAACGTGCATGGGAATTTCGTTGGGCAGTTTTTCTGGCCGAGTCGACTGTGAGTCGCGCATATAATATTCTTTTTATATTAAAAAGAATGTTAAAACGGGGTTGACTTACTCACCAGAAGCTCCCAGAGTGGATGTGAACTTGAGCTGAATTACTCCATCTTTGTCCTACTGCGTCCTAATGCGATTTCTCGATGTAAAATCCACAGAATCGTATATTTTTCAATTCTGTTCAGTTCACTCTTAATTTTCACGGTCCTCTTTCTCCCATAAATGTGATGACATGGCTCAACATAAAGGTAATAAATTGTGACCATAAAATAATTTAATATGTAATAAATGGAATATTATGATCATCAAATAAATTTTAATGCCAGAGGGTTGTCAGATATTTAATATCTTTATAATGTTTGAAGGTTATTTTTTGTCATAAAAGGAAGAGAGGATTGGGTAATAAAACATACTTCCTCAAGCTTTCTGTTCATTTATGCAATGAGTTTTCGATGTTTTAACTATTATCATAAATGTTGAGAAATGCCAAATATATGGCCAGTTTTTAGTCATCAAAAAGCACTAACCCAGTCTAATCTACCAAGCTGCGCAATGATTGGGGCATTTTAAAATAAATTGTAAGAACTGAGCTATAACAGGCCATAAAAAGACGAACAAATAGCACATGTTCAAATTTGGTCTTTTAAAGTGCAAAGTAAGTTCTAAAAAATAGGTGGATAAGCAACAGAATAAAGTCGAACTCTACGCAATATCGTAGGTCTTAGGGAAAAATCGAGCCTATATGTCAAAAGCGCCTGAATAGCAGTCTTCGTCACCATTAAACCTTTAGAAACGAGAACGGTGTCCTCAGTTTTATTACGTTTTTATTATCGTCTTGACTTTACAACTTGTACTAAGTTTTCCGGCGAGCAAGCTAATCTGTTGGTTTGTCATTAAAGGCGTGAGAAATATAATTACTGGTTTTCACATAACGTCATCAAAATTCAAACTAAAGAAATATCGATCCTCCTTAATTTTTATTTTACTGAAGTATTAAGGCAGGTAGAAACTAATATTTATACAAATTTTTAATTTCGAAAGGGTAACTCTTAGCTTTGTGATTCAGTACGCTTGATTTTCTAAGCGTTTGCTTGACGCGGCATTTACGTGGCGCCAAGAGCGGAGGAACTCCGGGAGCTATCATGTAGGTTAAAGAAGTGTCTCATTTTAGAAAACTTTGCTACCTGAAAGTAATGATACCGAGTTCCCCGAGAGATTAATTCACGCTTCCGTACCAAAACTCAGTAACAGATGTTCTTGTTGGTTTACGGCCGTCATGTTGGTGCCCATTCGGATGGACACCAATACTCCGGGCGTCTCCATACAAAGCTCTTTAGATTTGGTTAAATCATTTCTATGAATATAAAGCATTCCAAAAATTGCACTGACCTGAATCTTGTTGAGGATTTGCTTATTTACCTCCTTTCATTTCCCAGTTCTGGACTTTATCTATTAAACGATTTTGATTCTAATTTTTGATGGCCTGACAGTGTTCTAAAACGAAAACCCTGAAGCCTCCCAAAAATGAACGTATCTGAAAAAACAAAGATCAACTACCTGATTACAAATTGATACCTATGCAAAAATGATTTTTTACCACTGTCTCAGAATTATATTATAGGAGCCGAAAATTCATAGAGTTAAGATTCATGTGTGCATATACTTACACTCCTAAGATACCTGGAGACAACACACCCAAAAAAGCTAAGTAGCCAGTAAAAAAGTGCTGTTCCTAAATATTTCTCTCCCACATAAAATAGTTTTAAACACGATTGGTTTTAACGCAAATGCTATTCAAATTGTGTTTCCTTTTCAATCCTCAAAGGATCTAGCTCTTAAAAACGTTTGGCTACCTTTTTTTTGTCTGACATCTTATGGAGAACAAAATTGAAGTTAATGTGTAATATTTCAAAGCAGCTTAACTACGTGTCTTTGGGACAGTTGGTGATAGACTATCCGTCAAAATACTGTTACACTGTACTACGTTTTTTATACATGGCTCCTGAAAACGATGGTGTGCACAATTAAGAACCAACGAAGATCAAAAACAAACTTAAATAAAACGCGAGGTGTGCTTCGTTACTTGGTGTCTGAATAATTGGCAAACGCTCTTTCTAGTGACTGATATGATTAATTAATTACATGTACAATACACTATGAGCACACCTAAAACAGTCTGGGTTGGTTATTTAAACAAAGTCTAACTTCAACTGCGGTTTAGGAAATCTTTGGACCTCCAGATCTTTGTCTTAGTGGGTTATTTTAAGAAAAAATGCTTTGCCTTTCTACGCCTTATATTTTCATGAAACTGTTCACTATGAATGGTGTTTACATAAAACTGGATAAAAGTGTTTGGCAAACTGAAAATGGCTTAGAGCACAGTTTTGTTAAACACTGGCTAAACACCGTTTAAATAACTGGCCCTCTCTTTTTAGTTCTGGCAAGCTCTGTGCTTTCGTTAATATAATTGAAACATTATAATACACCAGAGTAGACCTTGAACAGTATGCTGTTTAGTTCTGTTAAGCAAACTGTGCTTTCGTTTCTCGGGGTTCGGATATCTGGCAAACACTCTTCCTAGTGTTTGATGATTGAAGTATTAAAAATACTCTATAAAAAGTATCTTATACCCGAGTAGACCTTAAACAGTATCCGTTTAGTTCTGTTCATCTTATATTGAAATTATGGTGATCAGTGAAGTTCACAGTGTACTCTCGAAACAAACTTCACGCTGGAATGCCAACAGCGGCGGACTGTCTCTGCCTGGAAGAAACTCTCCTGGGCTGTGATTGGGATCTGTCTGCAAGGTTGGTCGCCTCAGAGAGAAGACTGAGAAGGTGGAAGATAATCGCCTACTCAATCCATTGGCTCTGAATACGAACTTTAAAGCTCGAAGAAAATCTCTTTTGAGAAAGGTGTAAAGTAATGGATTGACCACGGAAGTGGTGTACCTGATCAGGAGGGCGACTTGAGATATTGGACCAAGTCTTAAGGATATTGGCAAGTGGTGTAGTAGAGATAACACGAACCAAGGAGCCCAGCACACGAAAAATACAAAAGCCATGATGGCAAACAGTACCAAACACTTCCATTCACCCGAGGTTGCCTTCAAATGCAGACTGTGTCTTCGTCCTTGGAAGGTCGCTCGTTGGTACTTTTTTGGAGATGTTGCATGAATGGCTTTGGACATATGAGCAAACGCGAACACCATGAAGATGTATGGTACAATCATGGCGAACAACAGACAGAATGCGGTGAAACCAAGCACGTATTTAGAACATTCTGGGTGATATACTGGAAATATCTTATCAATCCATGTGTATGGGATCAATGACGTCAGCAGCGAACAGCTCCAAACAATAACTAAAACCTTCTGGATACATTTCTTGCGTATCACTCGATGTTTCAGCGGAAAGATAATGGCGATATATCGTTCTGCCGTGACAACAACAATATGGTACACCATGGCGATAGCTACAAAGTTGTGAAGAACAGTTACCAGGAATCCCAGATAGAACTTCGCTTCCGAAGACTCAACCAGTGAAGTAAAGTGTATTGTTGTAAACAAGGGAATGACGACGAAACCACAGATGAAGTCACAGACAGCCAAGCTGAAAAGTGGGTAGTTTGATGTGGTTCGCAAAACCTTCTCCTTGATAAACAGATAAAAAACTACACTGTTAACGAGTACAATCGTCGCTGCAATCGTTAGCAGCATTGCAATTTCTTTGTCAAAGTTAAATCCTTCAACCTTGTTGGGCCGCACGGTTCCATTTTCCGCTGTCGCATTTGAAAACGGTATAGCCTGGTACTTTTCATCCATAATCATATGATTAAAGTTGTTCGAAGGACATAGGATATAGCCAGATTGTTTTCTACAAGAAGTAAAAGAAAAAAAAGAAAAAGGTTTACACTTTAAGATTTTGCGCTGAGCTAACTCATCTAATCAATATTTAGTTTAGGATGTCTTCTCCTAAAGATTATATTTTCATGCCAATTTTTTTCATACACTACGTGAATTACTTCCACTGACTGAAGTAAGATTTAAAAATAAGGTACCGCTATCCCAGTTTTATCGAAAAGCAGGAGGATGAATTTGAGAACGTCGAACGTACTTAGTTGCTCAGCCCTTCATAAAAGAGAAAAAAATATATTCAGCTAGACTAATTTTTCCCCTCACTTTGCATAGCCGTTTTAAATATTATCGTTTTTCGCCTAGCTTGCCTTTTATAAAAATCTGTTTTTAGTATTGTCGGTGAGATGTTCAGTTCTACCAAATAGATGGCACTTCGGCCTTTTGACAAAATCTCTCAAATGAATTAGAATATGACGCAAATTTCAAAAGTATTAAGTTCATCGCTCAAGATCTGTTAAGGCTATAAAACTGCTTCGTTAATATTATTTTACTTACCAGGGCACTCAATGAAACACTTGTGCAGAGGTCGATTGACGGCTTGTTCGTTCGTCTAAGACAACTGTGCGTTAATGAAGTAAAAAAAGTAGGTGAATCGCTTGACTTATGCAAAGGATTTTAATTATTTTCTCTCAAAACATTTCTTTAAGTACAAATTAACGGGAAAAGCGTGGTTTTTTTGCCCATAAGAACTACGAGCTACGAGCAGCATGTGGTCCGGTAGCAGAACAGACTGCATGTAGCTTAAGGTCAATTATGCTATTGAATTACTCGAACCCGAAGACGTTCTTTGGCTTAATTTTGCTCCCTCTTGTTATTCCAATTGTTGCAAATAAGAATATTACCGAAAACGACATTCAATTCAATTTTATCAGCTGGGTATCGCAAAAAAAGTCATCACCGTAAATGGCTAATTTTTGAAATATATATCAAGCCACTGTTGTTAGGCGTAAGGTAGCTGTATTTACAAGGGCAAAGAACTCCAAAGTTCCCTTAAGCGATTGAGTTTCAAAGCAGCTCGTAGAGATACTTCGCAGAAACCTAACAGTACAATATTTATTTATATGCGTGCAGTCAGAATGGAACTTAACAACTTAAACAAAACCCCCTTAGGAGTTTTTGACAAAATAAAAAATGGCAATAAAATTAAATGATAAATAGTGATGATAGCTATTGCTGTTGGACGTAAGATATCTGTATTGAAAGGGAAAAGAGGTCCAAGCTCATTAAAACGGCTCATATATGCGATTGAGCTTCAATGGAGGCAATAGAAGTGCAATATTTATTCATGATGTAAGATCAGAGTGGAAAAAGCCCCCGTGGAGTTTTCAATAAAAAAATTGTAATAAAAAAATTGAAAAAAGAAAACAATAATAAGAAAAATTGCCAGAAAAAACATAAAAAAAAAGAACAACAACAAAAAACCACAAAACAAACAAAACCGATGGTAAAAATAATAACTCTGAATAATAAAAAAGCTGAAATAGAAATTGGCTTGTGCTCGCGTTTTTTTTTTCAAAAGAACGTATTTTTACCATTGACAAATTGAAACGAGGAAATAATATTCAAATTAACAGATAAATTGTCGTATTTAAATTGATTTCCCTGCACATTCAACTGCAGTTTTTCATTTAATTAATTTATTACAAAAAAACTAGCGAGGATGAATTTTTTTTCAAAATGTCCTTCATCATAACCCCCCGTTGTCAGATGTCGCCTGATTTGTTGTGCCTCAATAGTTTCATGAGACAATGAAAATAAAACGTTTCTTTGGCGTATTTGAAATAATAAATCACCGGAGTGAACTACACTTGGGTGATTTTTCCCTTATGATCGAGAAAAACAATGGTTTTGCAATACCTTTTGTTGTTAAGATTTTTCAATGTATATCCAATATACCTCCTATATTTCATATCACAATCATCACGCTTATGTTTAGAATGTTTTGGTCAGACGAGTAAATTTCTCCTCCAAGACTCCTCCATTTCCACTCTGTGTGAGTGGGCCTGCGTCATTAATGATTCATTTACAGCTGCATGTAAAACGTCGCAAGTTTACAATTTCAAAACGAGGCTTGGCAGTGAAATTTGTTCGTCTGACGTAGACATACTATAACTTGATTAAAAAATTGCAGTACTGTATTTACTGAAAAAGTAAAAGTTGTGAATAATTATACACCCAAAGAAAATGTTTTGCAACTTTGTAATAGAAGTGCCAGCGATTTATGCCCATAATTATTTTCCCCATCAAAGTTCCAAACTTTTCAAGCATAGGCAAAAAAAGACAAAAAAATAAAAGAACAAAACAAAACAAACAAACTAATTAGCGAAAACAAACAACTCAAAACAGAACAAATAAAGATGTACTGTATTCTACTTATTTTTTCTACTAAAGAAAAATAAACAACGCTGGGTTCAAAAGAATGCGGTCACTCTTTGTATGTAGTGATAGACACAACATGGCGTTTCAATCAGTTCTAGTTATCTTTTGGTCATTGTGTAGTTCCAGAAAATATCCATACCCCTCCACGGAGGGCACTTGTGCTTTAGACCCCCCACCCTTGGAATTTTCCTAATTTTTCAACTCAGTTGGGTACCCTCTGGAAATAATATTTGTGTCAAAAAGGTTGTTGCACTATTTTATTATGCGAAAGATAATTTTTTTCTGCGATAAAATGAGAAAAAAACTTTTCATTTATGTTAATACAGTGTTTAATAATCTCGATAACGTTATTAGCTAATAATTAACCATATAGGCAATACCTTACACTGCTGACTACACGAATAATGTTATCTGCAAAAGAACCAGTTACTATTCAAACAAAACATCACGTGAACTTTCATTACTTCACTTCAATGAGAACACGTTTCAAAAAGGCTTAGAACACGACCAAATTACGGTGAATCAAATGCGCAATAACTCAACAGCTAGATAACCGGAAGTTTATTCATGAGCCGATGACAATTGTATGTAAGAAATCTATCGCGCATGCAAGCCGTGAAAAAAGCATTTACCCAACCGTAGATAAAAGACAATCAACGCAAACAATAATTCTTGTTTTGAAACACCGGAAACAAGAAAATGACTGATAGCTTGCTGAACAGAGAAGCTGTTATTTATTAATAACTCACCAATCTTACTCACAACCGCTGGAAAAAATCCTCTCTGAGCAACAACCCCCCACCCCCTTGGAAATTACCTCCTTTCGGATCCCCCTCCCCTCGGAATAACCATTGCCCTCCGTAGGGTTGGGGGGGGGGGATATGGATATTTTCGAGAACTACACGTTATTATTATTATTATTGTTATTATTATTATTATTATTATTATTATTATCTTTATTATCATTATTATTTTCAACAAATTCAACAATGTTCTCGTGAACTGCCAGCTTCCTGACTAATAGTCTACACAAGCTAATAATAACGTCGGAGTCGTAGTCGCAGTCGATGTAAAAACATTTGGATGGCAGTCTTTAGGAGCGAGAGAACTTTTAACATGACCCAGAAAGATTAACATACAAATTAGTTTTTGCATAAAATATCAATACCCTTATTTTAATAATATTATTTTAATACCCTTGGGGAATATTTTGCATTTAAACTAACTGGTATATATGAAAATCATAAGTGGTTAATAATTGAAATATTTAAAATAACTACATATAGGCTGTAAAATAGGTTAAAAATGTTGGGTGTACCTTGGGTAACAATGAAAGGCCTCAGAGAAGTATGATATTAGTAAGGGTTTGCCAACGTACTTGTCACTATAAAATTTCGGACTGGTCAAAAAGGACGTCATTCAAAATAAATGATAAATATTAAGAGAGAATGGTTCTATATTGTTTCTTATAAATATGCAAATAAAACGTTAAGACCACAAAAGTAGTTAAATTTTCAAGAGCATCATGACTTAAGTTTTACTGCAATGTCAATGAGAGACGATCTACCAAAGTATCCATCCATGAAACGAAAGGGATTCTCACTGCCAGCATAATGGCAACTTGCCCATATTTTTGTTATTTTTCTGTCTTTTGAAAGCCAGTCAAAACAATAATCCTCTATAATACTGAAATTCATTAAGAAAGAGGAGAAAGAAGGCTAAGTGCTTGTTAACGAGGCACATCTGCGACAATCTTTCACAAGAAAAACTCGGTTTTGCGTTAATGGTGTTTGGTTTTAAACATTGTTGTTACGTTTTTTTAAAGTTTTAGCAGTAAAGTTATAAATTTGAACCCCATTTCAAAAGACGTCTTAGAGTTGTAAAACCTGAAAAATAGCCAAGTTAAATTTTACAACGTAAACGGAAATTCAGCTGAACACAATACTTTCAAAACAACTAATCAAAAGAGAAGAAAAGCAAACTACCAACAAAATAGATTTTACCAGTAGCCATTCTTAGCATTTCCATTTCAGCGAACAGCATAAATTAAAGCTATTTCAAATAATGCATTTAGTAAAATCTGCACTTTTTACCGATATCTTGGTCTTAATTCAATAGAATGATACAAAACTTGTTACAGTTTTTCTGACAAAAGTGAAAACTTCAATCGATAACAAGCTAGCAAAAGGAGTCAAATTTACAACAAATACCTACCCATGTAACACTCTTCCTGTTCTTCACGCAGCCGATTCAACTGCGACAATAATTCTATAAAGAAGCTTGGATGATATGCCGAATGTCTTTTGCGGCCATTGCATCGCCGAACGAAATGGATCACAGCTTAGTAAACAACAAAATAATCATTATGCTACCATTACTTGTTACTTACCTGCTCTTGGCTTGATGCCTTACAATTTAGCACGAATCAAATTGCTTCAATTAAATAGTATGCTGTAAGAATATCATATTTACTATGCGAATTATAAAAAAGCTTGAAACCGAGTCATTATAATAGAGAGTATCATAGCAAACGGTTTCTTTGATCCTTACCCTACTGTCATTTAACATGAGAATTTTGTAAAAAGATAGAATATGATCAAGAGCTCGAGAGAAAAAACATACTTGCGGCATCAAACTTAGGTTATCCTTACTCTGAACTATTTTTTTTTCAAATTTAATTAAACCCTCTTCCAGCCCCTAATTCTTCGAATCAAATCGATGTAGTTTCTCAGACGAAGGCAATGATACAGTTTTCCATTTTCTTATTCATCATTTGGTGATTAGTGTACTGTGACTTAGGGAATTGTCCATATGCGAACGAGATGTTGTTTTTTTTTAAACCGCCTGCTGTCAGTGATGGCGAAGTTTTTTGAGCGGAGTTTTTTAAAGCTTAAGTACATTCTGTTAGAAGCTGCCTGAGATCACGTATCAAAGTGTGTGTCGTGCCATCGCAGATTCCACTCTGAGATAGGGTAAGCCGGCTTTCAGAGGCAATCAACGCGTACCAGTCCCACCCACCTTTTCTTAGGAGAATCCCTCAGGGCAGTGGATCATGGTCAATAATACCATGTGCAAAAGCTTGCTTATCTGAAGGAAGTTCAGCTAAAACTGACGAATAATTCACGAAGAAATATCAAATAAATGATTTCCTAAAGAGCTCCTTATTAGATGTTATGTAAACACGGTAGAATTTTTTCTCCCATATTACAAGGTTGATTTTACAGGGATAAGGTATGCATTCGTGAAAATGGGGATCCCGATGACTGAAGACATAACACTGACACTTATCGATATTTCGGGTTTAAAGTTGCTGTTCAATAAATAATAATTTATATTTAAATCAACCATATGATTGTCATGAAAGGGATATCCCCATGACTATAGAACATAGCATTGGAGCATCTAGGAAACTGACATCTAGGCTGCTTTCTTCCTTTCTCATTTTTGGGCTGCATCGTGTTATCGGTTGATTGCAAAATAAAAAAAAAATGCTAGGATAAATAATTTTTTTTACGAGCCCAGGTATTGACTTTTCTAGATATTCAGCTGTTTATAAGTCTACATTGTAATAACTATCATGTTCGTGCATTTTTCTCTACAGAATTATTTAACCATTATACTGAGGTCATGGACACATATTATTTTAAAAACAACAGTTGTTTCAACTTAATAGATAATAAATGATACATGGCTGGAAAATATTTGCTACTTAGCTAGTTAGTTTTTATTGTGATAAATCTTCCTCTAAAAAGTGTAAGGTTTTGGACACAAAAATGATTAGCATTCTATAATGCTATTATAAATCGTATGATGCTTTTGTACCTAATTAAAAAGCATAAAGCAAAATCAAGAGATGATTACAGACCGGACAAGTTCGAGATCTTTCCTTTTCTCTTTTCAATAACTTACTTGAATTTCGCGCAAATTCCTGTAAATGAATCAAACATTTCTTAACCATCGTCACAGACAGTCTACATCACAGCCAAATCCAGGTTTTGAGAAACATCCAGGTCTTGCTGGACCGCGGGGTAAAAAAAGCAGAACTTTCTTATCTTATTCCGTGGCACAAGGTCAACCTCGTACTCAGGGCACAGGTACCTTCTCCTCCCTGCCCCTCAGGGGAGGAGGGTAGCATAAGTTTGTGTGTTGGCTGAGCTTCTGTCTGCTCTGTAAACACGTAATCTCTGTCATTTATTAAAAGCCTAGTTATTAGTCAAGCCCAACCATCCAAGAAAAAAAAGTAATAAAAAATAAATGCATCAAAGTGTGTGGCCCAGTTATCGCAGATTTCAGTCTCAAATAGGGTAAGCCGACTATAAATCGCTTGCCGATCAGGGTCAATACTGCCATAAGCAAAGGGTTTACTCATACTGATAAATATATCAAGGAAAAAAATTCCAAGATCATAGTGAGTCTAACGAATTCCTTAACATAATGCGCAGTGGCTGATCCAGGGGACGGGCCGGGGGCCCCGGAGGGCCCGGGCCCCCCTTATTTTTCGACCAAAATGAGGTTCGAAGGGCCGGAAAAATTTTTTGGGAGACCGGGCGACCCCCTTATCTCAGGGTCTGGATGACCCCCCCCTTACCTAAAGGTCTGGGTTCGCCATTCATGTAAACACGGCTGAAGTTTCTCTCGATTTTTCGGTCGATATTAAGGGTAATTTTACAGGTAAAACTTATGCATTTGTACAAATATGGATCCTGATCACCAAGACATAACATTGATTTTCATCAGTCGTGTTTGGGTAAATGTGCTGTTCAATACTGAATAATAAATATTCATGATGTCAGTTGAAATTAGCCTTATTTTAAACAAGAAAGAGATCTCTACATGACCAATATTGCATTGGGGCATCAAGGAAACTAACATCTAGGATGTTATCTGCTATTTATGTTTTGATCTTGGGAATAAAATCCTTGGCATAAACGACCATTTTCCACACAGTAAAATAACAGTTATACGGCGGTAAATACCACCAATTATTAAGAAAACGGCAGTTGTTATACACTATAATTATACATGACTAACAAATAATTGCTACTCAGCTAGTTATTTTCTTTTGATATGCGTTCTCCCATACTAAGCAAAACCGAAAAACGTCAGTTTACATTTTTCGAACAAAGACGAAAGCAGCAATTCAAACTTTGATGTTTTTATCCCTAAGCTGACAGACAGTAGATAAAAAGTATAAATGGAAATTCAAGAGATTATTACAGTCCTTTCTTACATAATAGAGGACTTTCCTTCTCTCTTTTCAATATTTCACAGGGGCGGATCCAGGATTTTTTTTAGGAGGGGGTGACTCGTCTCTTGCTCTACTTCAACACCAATAAACCACATAGTCTTTTTTTTGCAGAATACCAGTTGTATTAGAAAACCGCAGGTCATCTCGGGGGGGGGGGAGTGAGCACCCCCTGCTCCCTCCCCCTAGATCCGCCCGTGTCTCAATTGACGTTGGCACAAATTCTTTGTAGATGAATCCCCACATTTGGCTAATAGGTATTCGGAATAAACAGTCTACAGTTTACTCCCGGTAAATCAGAGCGTTTGGCTCTAGAATTTCATTTTTCAGGAAACTGAAAATGGTTGAAGATTTTATCTAGACGTCCAGTTGCTAGGATAGGGGGATTTGCTATTATAGGGTAGCAAAATTTGAACTAGCTCTGACAAAGGTTATTCCAGGCTCCCAGCGGCACATCCCCACCCAGAAATTTCTGAATCCCACATTTGTTTCGGAATAAACAGTCTACCTAAATTAGTGTCCAGTTGCACAGCGTGCTATAATTTCTGACAGCATATCTTTCTGATCGTTTCTATTGCCTAGCTTAAGGTCAGTTTTCTTTTCCGTTCCCCTCCTGCCTTCACCCAGGGGACGAAGTTGGCAAAAGCTTTGGGCTTAGTTGAGACGTTTGCCAGTTATAACAAAAAAAGGGAGAAAAGAAAAAAAAAAAGGAAAAAACAAAGACAAATAACAAAAACATGAACAGAAAAGAAAAGAAAAAGTAAAGCCCATAATACTGTGTCGGTGTATGCCTTGATCTTCTTTGGGGGTCAAATAAAACCTTGCAGCCACGCCCAAACTGGTCTCATTTAGGGGTTTAATTCTTTATCTTCCCTGTTCATTTCACATCAAAAATCACCATTTTCCTCCTTTTCACCCTGGGAAAGAAACAAAATAAAACCCTACATGTTGCGTGAATGCCGGAAACACCTGTGCCGAACATTTAAGCCAATATTTATATCTTTTCTTTGGTTAAGTACTCTCTAAGTTTTGCTCCAAAAGATCTTTAGCTAGAACTTGGAAAAAAAAGGGCCAGACTCGTGTAGTTCGAAGCTTTTTATTGAGTGCAAGGTGTTATCTTTTGTATCACCTTTTATCCATTGTAATTTTGTGGTTTTTACTTTCTTTGTTTTGCCCCTTTTGTTCATATATCTAAGAGGGGGGTTCAGCGTATCATATCTTGTTTGATATAGTGTTTATTTCTGTCTTTTGAAAATCATATAATATATAAAGCTCTCCATAGATAGAAAAACCACACCCTGACCTGATATCGGTCTATGTATTAACCAATTTGCGTTTTCTGCTTTCTTAACATCCCCTTTTGTATTTGTTTAATATATATTTTTCATGTTTAGTATTAAAATTCAAACTTTATTTTCGCATGATGACTTACCATTAATGGAATATTACATTGTTGCTTTTACACGTACTCATGTATCCTTTGTTAATTGTTTAAAAAACGATTAACTGCAACGCAATTGTTCAGGCTCAGTGTAAAACTCTCGTTTGACTGATTATGATAGCAATGTGAATTCTAAGTTTTTAGAACTTGAAATATCTAGGTGATCAATTGTTCCTGAGCCGATTATTGCGGCTGGGTAGTACAAGGACATTAAATGAATGTAAATCCAGCCTGCTCGTTAATTTCTGTCTTCCCGTGAAACGTTTGACCTTCGGAAAACAGTCAAACTTGTATAGGCTAAAGAGAATTAACCAGAATATGCTAATTTAATCCTCAGTGCGTTGTGAGAATTCGTTTCAATGTTTGTAGAACCTACTTTTCTGAATATCTAACAGCCTTACTTCAGCGGTCCCATCCTGGGGCTGAAGTTGTCGTTGACGTCCTCATCAGCCCGGTAGAACCTAAATCACGACCGACCCATCGGAAGACTTTGTAGAAAAAAATTGACGAAAAATCATCTGAGCAAGAATTAAAGTTTAAAAATGAAAAATCCAAATATTTTTTAGATAGTCGATGAGAGGATTCATCCTCTACATCAGCTGAAATTTATGAGGAGGAATATAAATCATGACTGACTCAACTAATGCTCGAAGGGCTCTTAAAAAGGTTGAAAAATGTGTCCTCAAGGGACAGCGAATTCTAGAGCTGCATCTGATTTGTGGCTCTAGGCACGTTAAAAAAAATGGTAGAATGATTATCTGAACCAGAACTAAAAATATATCAATCTGATCTGATATTTTGTGGAGAGATTCGCCAGGGTGATCGATGAGTTAATGCATATGTTTGCCACGCAAGCTCTTCCCAAACCATTCCAATAAACCATTGAAAGTTGATTCGACTTACCTATTCACATAGGGAAATCCCTCTTGGAAGGAAGGGTACACTCTGTTTACAGCATAAATTTCAGTAGCATTAATGTAATGTCTTAAACGGCTCGATGATCCCACTAGACATCAATGACGCTTCCAAAGGCTTTAAGTAAGAAAATAATTTCATAATAACTTGAGAATCTCACGTGTAAATTACCATGACAAACGGACTTACACCGATGAAACTATAGCAAGCGTGAAGGGCGTATGTTGTTATTATTTGCTTGGTTATCAAAAGCTTATTACAGGTGACAGCTAAACGCTGCACGACAGCATGCGGTGCAGTTGGAGACAAAGTTAACATGGTCATCGTGTCCTTTCATAGGGAGAAACCCAAGACCTTCTTCACAAAATCGTCATTTTTTGACTGAATGTTTCACGAACGTTTACATTCTTTATGACATAAATTATTGGTTTAAAAATTGTTGAAACGGGCTAATCCTGCTGAGAACTGTGCTCTGTCTAAGTGTAAACAGGCACAGTAGAGTCAACAGCGCTCATTGAAATAGCTTTGGTAAAACGGCCATTATATAACCCATGGGTAGTTGATCTGTGATACTTGCTTTGCCCACTTATTGTAAACATTTATTGGGCTTCCTTGTCTTTTCATTTGAGGATTATAATTAAACGCCCAGGGATACATAAAAGTAGAAGAATAAAGGGATAAAGAAAGACGGTTTTGCGAATGATATTAAAATTTCAAAAGTAGGTTGAGTTTGATCGTCCGGGTGAACGTAGTCCTGAATAGGACTGTTGCTGTTGACAGGGACTGAAGTTTGGACAACCTGTTCGGTAGTCATCTTCAGAGTATTAAAATTCTAGTGTATTTAATAGGGTAAACGAACTAAAACGTTAGTTCAAAGTGCTTGTTATAACAAAGCAAATGAAATGTGCTCATTTTACCTGACAGGGCGGCGGTCCAGCCTTCTTGCAGCCTCGCAAATCTCTTTTACAGGTAGTTTTCAATGCTGTCGATTACGACACTGATTAATACTCGATTCTTTGTATATATGTATTCATTGAGTCAAAGCCCTCCCAAGTTCAATAACAGCAGAACTCCAATTTCAGGGTTTAACCGTGAGAGACCAGCAACGACGCTTTGATTGGTCTGTTTATTATTAGGTTGTTTTACGACTGAGCTGAGATATCATAACAATGATTAATTTATACATATTTAATTCAAAAACTAGAAAGTTAAGGTGCCCTAAGGATGCTATTTTCAGTCATGTTGATAATGTTTAGTGTTTTACAGTTGTCTCAAGTCAAATCCTTCAAATTTAGATAACATCGATACAGCAATTTCCTCAAAAATTGCACTAACCAAACTATTCTTAAATTACCCTAGTTTTGGTAGGTCATTTTCCTATCTAAGGTGTTTTACGGTCGAGTTCAGCCACCAATGTGATTGTTTATGAAATTTTTTTTTTATATTAACTACATTAACACCCAAGGCACCTTACTGATGTTGTTATTGAGGTGGTTAATTGTCCTGATCTACATGCATGCCTACGACAAGCTTAATCTACGATCGATTTAGAGACTTTTTAACGCAGCCAGCTTTCCTTTGTTGAAATATTTGTTACGACTTAAACTACAGATGAAAATTTCGAACTGTGGCATAGCATTTAACGGTGAATAATCCCAGTGGTCAACCTGCCTGCGTCATGGATGAAATAGTGTCAATTATAATTAACAATTCTTCGCAAAAGTTCTAATTGCTTTGGCAGTACGAAAATTAAAAGAGACGGAATAATCTTGCAATCTTTTTTCCCAAAGAAAACAACACTTTTCTGACTAGAAAGTAATTACAATTACAATTATCTTCCAGCTAGGGTTGCCTATATCGAACAGGTGCTGTGACAAGCTCGCACCACATTCGTAAGAGGTTCCATGTCGATTACATAACAGTCCATGGTACGACTGAAAGAGAAATATTTTCAACCTTTAAACACGAACAGGTGACGAATAAAAACCAAAAAATTTCAGGGCATTAATAATAGCTGAAAGTGCTTAAATGTCAAAGATCTACTGGGAAGTAAAGAAATATTGAGGTTACTTGAAGTAAGCTATAAATTTGATTCCATAAAAATTTTAGGTATCAACTATAGTAAAACATATGCTATTATTTAAAGCCTGGGTCGCCTATGCCATACACAGCGGCTTATCCACATTCAGCTAATTCAAAGTAGGGTCTACTTTTCATGTTTTTTGTTACTTCTTTCAAGTTATAGAACGGTGAAATTACACGGGTAGGATCTGAATTTGAAGTAATATATCAAACATGAGATGCAGTGTTTCATCACCAGATGAAACACCGAGAAGAGAGTTGAAAATACGACGCGCAGCGGAGTATTTTTGACGAACTTCGAGGTGTTTCATCTGGTGATGAAACACTGTGTCGAATGTTTGATATTTCTTCTCAAACAAAATCATTTTTGAAGGAGAAATTAAGGATGCAAATACTAAGCAGTGTTTCATCCGATTTCCAAACACTCATTAAACATTAATTTCCTTTGTATTTTCTTAATGAATTATTAATGAGTTTGAGAACCATTGTTGGCCAATGATGATCATTAAGTGACGCGCACGGAGTTCAAATGAAGCCTCTTTGTACAGATACTTTCCAACTTTTCCAGTGTCAAATCAAAGGCAGCTTTTCCAGTTCCAAAAGGGCAGATCTTTGTATCACTAGTTCAATTTTTTGTCTTTTTCATCAGATGCTTGTATTTTCCATCGACAGCCACCGCAACCTCACGTAAAGTTACCAGAAACTGTTATAATAGCTTCTCTGAGCGAAATCTATCAGCTTTTCATCATTACAAGAACGTTATAAAATCGTCCTTCGATCCAAGTTAAATCTCCGGTGGAGCCGACAAACCACTTCGTGCCGAAAATTCTGTAAGCTGTATTTCAACTTCTTATCTTGAAATTTCTATAATAACATTAATATATCGCCATTGTACTGAAAGTTTTGTTTGGTATGCATACGAAAATGAAAGACTACCAAAAACGAAATGCAATAAAAATGATATAAAGCTATATAAGGTATCAGTCGACCGAGCATAAGTCGCAAATGCTCATGAAACTCAGTAGTTAATTATACACAGATGCTAGGTTCCTTACTTGGCACAAAATGGAGAAGCTATGTTAGTGCGTGCTACACCTAGTATAAATTTTAGCTTGTGAAATTCAGAGTCGAATGCACTAAGGTAAGCACAAAGCCATTTTCGTTTAAGATAGGAACAGAGGTAGAATATCCTCACGATGGTTTCACCATCATCATAACCATCATTACCATTATTGTTGTTATCATTGTTATTATTATTGTTATTGTTATCATCATCATCATCATCATCATCATTACAATTTTCATTGCTATCGTCATCATAAACCATACAAACCATGACACTACTTTGGACTGTTCAATTCGTTTACGGCGGACAGCTCTGTGATACATGTAGCTACATGTACTACAAATACAGCTTATGCTATGATCATGAAACCTATTCACCATTCTTTTTCCTCCTGGTGATAAACCAGATTGACATTACTACATTTACTTCGCATTGAACTGACAACTGCTTCTGCTGGAATGCTGTGACAAAGAAAATGCTTTTATTCCAACAGAATTTGCCCCCTTCTTTAACTGCTTTTTTAACGCTCCATAAAAATTTGGCCGTAAAAAACTATATAAGAACGGATTGACAATAGAAGTTGTATACCTCACTAAAGTAAAGACGTGCGAAAGCGTGTAAAGGGATTGTGATTTATCATCAAGAGTGAAAAGAAGCATGATAGAAAACCATGGAAACCAACATATGGCAAACAGTGTTGCCATGATGACAAAAATAGCAACGCATTTCCTTTCTTGTATAAGTTTCCTTTTGCGTCGTAGGCCTTGCATCTTTCTAATCCTTATGCGTCTTGAGATGACACTAAAAATCTTCACAAAAGCGTATATCATAAAGGTGTAAGGCAAAATAAAAACTGCAATAAAACAGCCGATCACGTAATGAAAGGAACACTTCGCACCTGAAGGAGAAAAGATTTTGTCACTCCAAGAAAAAGGAACTAAGCCAATGGCAATCGAAAGGAGCCAAATTGCCAACAGTGTTCTTCTTATAGTGGCTCTTGCAGTAAGAAGATGAGTAATTGGCCAGATGATCGCGAGATATTTTTCAAAAGTGGCAAACAGAATGTGGTATACAGACAAAACTGCTGAGGTAGTGTGAACCACGGTAACTAAGAAGCCCAAGTAGAAACGTACTGTGCTTGAAGAAATAATTGAAGTGAAAGATACTATCATGAACATTGGAATGTTCACGATACCAGTCATCAAGTCGGTAATCGCCAAGCTTATGAGAATGTAGTTAGCAAGTGCACGTGACTTTTTCGCCTCACGAAACGCGACCAAAACCAACGTATTTGCGATGATGATGATTATGGCGATAGGAATAAGTTGAGCTATTCCCTTAACGTTAGTTCCCATTTCAGGAATGGCTAATGACGCATTTGAACGGTTAGAAGAACCTTTGACGTTTTGCATCGAGATATTTACTTCCATTGGATTGCTCCTGGGAACAGGAAATAACCTCAGACTGTTACTTGTCGATGGTAAGTAGCTGCCTTGAACTTCGTAAAAGGGGTCCTTATCACCTTCAGCGTAATTTGAACCCTAGAATCAATGGACAATAATACATCGTATTAATTGTAAGCATTTAACATTGTTCCTCAGACCATAAAGAGAATAAGCGTATATCATAAAACGTTTTAACTGGTCAATGGAGAACGTAAAAAAAGAAGATATCTCGAGCCTGGCAAAAAACGCAGTTAAAAAGTTGAGCAGTTCCAGACGCAAAATAACAGCTTCCGAAGTTTGTCACACATCAGTCTTGTCTTTTACCTTTCGATTTCTGTCCTCCCCTCTCCTTTTGCTTTTCTGGTCACGTTTTTTCTTTAGCTGGGCATTTACTAGGCCTTTTATTGGTGAGAAGAGTTCTGGCGAAAGTTACTGTGTATGAGGATCTTACGATTACATGGAACGAAAGGTAGGTGATGGGTAGTGAAGCAAGATTGTCATGTCTATTTCCGGGTGAACGTTGCATGATTTTTTCTTTTTCTCCGGCCTCCTCGAGTGTATCGTGCTCATTGGGGGTATGGTCTGAAAGATCTCTTCCCGTTGCCCAAGAAAGATGACAAAGTTGTCCTTGACCATAAAAGCGGATTACTTCACAAGCGCTAGAAGGGAGGTTATGGGCAGTTTATGGGCGAATGGTTAAAGACAAAAAATTTCATTGGGCAAATTCAACGGCTGCCCCGTATTCTGCAAAGTCATCCACCGCAAAAGTAGTTTATAAGAAGTTTGACGACAATGGAACAATGGAGCATGCGCGAGCAATCCTGTAGACTCTCATTCTAAAACCATATTGTAAAAGCACCATGCAGCTTGGTACCGTTTTGCACATAAACGTCTTTTTGTTCGGCCATAATACCTTTCGCTCCCGTTCTTGTTGCTTTTAGTCACCGCAGATCATTAAAGGCGTATGTAAGAGTGCGAGCAGTCGAGTGTCACAAGTGTAAAAGATAGCCGAGATAGTAAACGATGGTTATGGGTTCAAGCATTCTACTTGTGTCTAATATTGAACATTGATACTTATCGGTTATTTTTTAAGTTTTTGGTGCGTTTCATTCGAGGATTAAACTTTTACAAAATTACAGTTGTTAAGTTTAAAGTTTGAAATTACCGTGAGGTGTGTTCGATCGAGCTAACAGACGAAATCTTCCTTTAAGCGTTTCCTTCGTGCGCAACAAGGCATGAATTAATTCATGAACAGGTGTATCTCGAGAGCTCTTTTTCTGATAAAAACGTAAGAATTATCTCGAAATGGTAGTTAAACAATATACCGTTGGAAAACACGTGTTATAAAATAATACAGTGAAAATTTTACAGAGTTGACATCCTCTCTAAAGCAAGAGAATTCAGGTGACAAACTATGTTTAACCACTTTGCATATTAAAAATTGATATTTCACATGACTCTTAGCCGTGGGCAAAGCAATAAGGCTGAGAAACAAAAGCCATTAAAGGGCTCTATCACGCTATTTGCTTTCTTTTGAAAAAGCCAAAACGTGTCTTAATATCAATTGAATGCCAAAAACAGTGGCGATTCAGTTTTGCTGTTTAATACTTAATTTAAGCATTGGAACTGTTTCCTGTCGTCTGTTGCTACGGAGAGCAAGGATGGACTCAGACTGAAACTTGGAAAATGAACTCCTTATCATTTAGTTCATAACTTCATAGTCCGAGCATTAATTTTTGTGTGTGGGTTAAGGCACTTATTTATAATTTTAACACAGAATTGACCTAAGACAGCAATATCCTCGTGACACACTGCGCCTCATTAAACAGCAATAGATACCATCTACTTGGGTCTAGGCAGCTTTCAGTGCATGAACTTGAAGCTGAGAGACTCATGCCTTCTCTTTTCCTTTTTGGTAAAACAAATTTTTAAGCAGCAGCCAGCAACGGTATCTATTAGAAAGATGAGATAAATCCAGTTTGGTGAATTGGTATCCTGACCACCGCAACTTTTAATAAAAATACTTGGACAATAAGGTATTAAGAACTGATCACCGTTGACTAATTGTACTTGAGTACGCGGAAAATAATATTGTACATATTGGGCTACGGCGATCGAGGTTAACTAAATTCGTTAAAAGCTTTCTATTAAAAAAAAAAAACAACTTTAGTTACGTTTTATTAACCTGCATAACTGTTAAAGTGGCACGTGGATAAAGAAGTGACCACTCTCATGATATGATATTTACTTTGAAAGTAGCGTAACCAAAAGAATTTGTAAAACTAATAAATGCTATCAATTCATTCAGAGAAATCCTACCTTGCTTCGCAGGAGATCAAATCCTAGTCGAGACCAATACTCTTATCATGTGTTTAAGTAGAACGACATCAAGTGACAAATCAACTTGATTACTGATTGTTGAACAACCGAACCAGAACGATAACTCCAACTCAAGTAAATTTGCGCTCTGGACAACCCTACGGTCAGCGGTCGACAGGCTCCCATGCACTCTCAAGAGCGCAACCCCCGGGTCTTTTCGTGCTAAGAAAATGCTAGAATCTTGCCATGTATAGCACATGTTTAATTTTTTTTCTCACATTTTCATTAATATTTTTCTCAATTCCATCTTCCTCCGCACATTCATATTCGACTTCATTTCATCACTTTTACCCGATGGAAACAATAGTTGCGGGTTGTCCAAAACTTTGTTTTGTTGCAGAAACTTTGTAATCGAGAAACGTTTTGCTATAAGACTTTAAGAATTTAATTTTTACACATCTGCATGCATGTTGTTTAGTAATTGAACAGATATTATTTATTAGTACTCGTCTTCTCTCTTCATTTATATCAATTCCTTTATGACCTAAGGCAGTGTTATTTTTATAATCTGATGGATTCCACACACAATGAGGTTAGGCGCTAGCCACCAGTTAATACCAGCCTTTATTCTCTTGGTCTGTCACAAGGTAAACTGTTTTGATTGCTTATCACACGAAGTAAAATGATAAAGTATCACCTCGACGATGGAAGAGTCCCAGAAAAATTCATTGATAATTAGTCGAGCTTGCTTTAGCAGAACGAGACTCTAAAAATGCAAGTGTTTTTTTTTCGTCAGTCTTCCCCAAGTGGTCGGCCATAGTCCCAGGCGTTCCTAGCGGAGACCGTGGAAACTGGGGATAAGAATCGTGAATCGTTGTATGCAAATGAGTCTTGCGATGAACATGCGGTTTAATTTTGGAGATGACTGAAATAACGCGCAACGTTTATCACGTAGTTCTTTGGCAAAATTTTTTCCAGTCATGCAAGAAATCCCGCTTTATTATTTTCGAGAAAACACGTTTCAGGCTTATATGACATAGCATGCAAGTTCAAAACAGACATAAAAAAAGTAAAAAACTGAAAACGCGTGCTCTGTCTAGAGAGCTATTTTTAATAATTTGGTTATGACCTTCACGTGCGAAAAATTAAACACAGGTGAACGTGACAGAAAGGATAGTTTCGTAAACACATGTAGGGGTCAGGGTAGCGCAGAATCTGGGGATGGCAATCGGCACGATGCTCTCATCTGCACCAGGGGCACCCAACGAGAATATAGTTCAAAACCACTTAAACATAGCATTGTCAAACGTATTTTAGTATTTAAACGGTAGATATAGGCATATTTTAATCCCCTAAAAAGTTTTCATCTGTTCGGATTTCCTAGCTGAAAGTCTGGTGATCCGAAAATTCTAGGGATCAAAACTTACCTTTTCGAAAATTTCAGCCAAAAAAAGGCTCCCGAAAATTCTAGGTGACCTTTTTAGGGTAAAAATCCGTTAAAAATGGGCAATTATACCATGTTTTAGATGTTCGAAAATCCTAGGAGAGGCAGGCAAGCAAGAAATTGTACAACAAATGTTCCAAAAATTCTAGATCTCAAATCGTCTTCCGAACAGATATTTTACGAAAATTGACGTTGGGTGCCCCTGCTGTACGTTTCGAAAACAACTAAAATTTTCAGAATGCTATGTTTTGAGAAGAAAAACTTGGAAAGATTAATGCGAGAGATGTCAATGATTTAACCTTCGAGTACTACTGGAAGCAACTTCAACTACGCGTCTGACGTTACGTCATGTCCATAGAATAGAAATCCCATATCGAGCTTTTCCGGAACAGGTCGCTTCACGAACTCAATCGCCTGAAAGTGTAGATTACTTTGGTACAATTGATTACTTCAGTGGTCGAAAAAAAGAACAATCTTAATGACTTCGAGGTTTACTGGGAAACCAGGAGCGAGGATCGAGGATCGAGAATCGGGGATCGGTTAAAAAAAACTTGAAAATAAAAGAAATACATAAATCGTGGATCGTGGTGATGTGGGCCACAGACTGTAGATAAAAACATAACCCCGCTCGCTGTACTGAGCACTAAATTTAAGTAAACTACTCCGAGTCTGACTGAGTAAGTGATTGTTTTGACGAGAAAGTGAAATTTTCCTGGAAAATGAAACGCTTTATCCCAGTGATACTGTGATGAAATGCACGCTATGTACAGCTTCAAACATTGTACTCTGAGTTCGCGTAAACATCAACTGTACGAGGATATTAAAAGCAGATACTAAGCAGCCATGAAAAATGTAATTATTTTCTCGTAATTTTGATATCTTATAAAACGGACAACAAATTCAACAGGAATACGCGCGAACTGAATTAACTGTCTGTAATGTATAAGATTCTTCTAAACTTACAAATTTTTCTTGTGCTGACCAAATTAACTGTAGCGAGCCGTATCTTGTCCGCTAGATAGAAGCTATATATATTTATACTAAAAATCATCGTTCAATTTTTTGAGTGTAAAATCCTTGAAAGAGTTCTCCTCACTGGAGCAATATCAATATGCAGAAGGTTTTCAAAGGCTTCACACCGGTGTGAAGCTAAGATGTGCGGCCTGTCTTTCCTTGCAAATTTTATGTTTTGAGTATTTACACT